TTTAGAAGCTTTTTCTTAAGATGAGTATTCCAAAAGTTTTTGATTTCGTTATCGGTCCTTCCTGGAAGATGAGTTGCTATTGCCGACCACCTACAATTTAGAGGACAAAATTTTCAACTAATCAATAAATTTTACTATGATAATTAAATTTCTCCAAGGTTTTAATTCTTTATACGTGCCTTAAAAGTCAAAAGAATTTCTTTATTTACAAAAAAAAAAAAAAGTCATATTTTTTTCCAAATGAGTCGGCACCTCATTTAACTTCTACAACTCTAATTAGAGTTGCATTGCATACCAACTTGAACCTCTTAGACGCATATATGTATGTATATACAGTGATATATTTTTCTTTGACAAATTAGTATTTGTTTAAGGAGTACTTAAGATTTTTCTCAGACCAACTTAGACTTTTACTCTTAGATACTACAAATTAATAAAAATAGAATTAAAATGGTCAAAATAATGAGCATACTTTTGCCAATTGAATCAAACTTTTTAGTAAAAAGCTGCTAATTATTATCACTATCGTGCCAAAAAAGAAAAAGAAAAAAGGAAATATCAGAACAGGAAAATAAATAGATAGATAGAGAGTATGTAATTACTTGTTTCCTAAAACGGAATGGAGATTGATGATGGTTTTCTCTTCGTCTTCAGAGAACTTTCCTCTTTTGATATCAGGTCTGAGATAATTGGTCCACCTAAGTCTGCAACTCTTCCCACATCGATTCAAACCAGCAAGCTTTGGGAGAGCTCTCCAGCTGCCATGTCCATGTTCCTCAATGTACTCTATAAGTTTCTTGTCTTCTTCTGGCGTCCATGGCCCCTTCTTCACCCCATTCCCATCTGAATATGGTGATCTCCCCATCATCCCACCTGCACTCCAACAAAATATATAACATATATATGTATGTATAGGTTTCTGAGATGGGTTTGTAATCAGGAAATTAAATTACCTGGTGAAGAGAAGCTTTGAGTGGATATGTAGTGGGCAAATAATGAAGAATGGAGCTTGTTGTATGTATGTGCGAGATAGTGGGGGGGAGGGGAGGATCTGTTTCTTCATATGTATTGTTATCTCTCAACATTGACCCTTACGCCAGTTGTATATCAAAATTGCTTTTCTCCATGGTGATCTCTTAGAAGACTTGTATATGAAACAACCCCCTGAGTTTATTGCTCAAGGCCAATACAGAATAGTCCCCCCATTTA